CAAATTATATATTTTAACACATAATTTTGATTTTACTGTTTTTAAAAAATATACATTTTTGTTTTTCCTCTTACTTATAAATGCATTTATGTCTCTTACATTTTTCTATTAAATTTTTTTTCCGTGTGCTGCTTTTACATTTCTGTGTCTCCTGTTTTTACTTTATCTTATGCATTTCTGCCTCATTATGTAAATAAGGTGGGCGGTCCTACTTGGATCAGCTCCTCTCCTACTGGTCAACAGACAGGAAAGAGCAGGATCCATGTGCAGATCTACAGTACTGTGCATGCTTGTGCTGTCTCAGTTTAKCTTAAAGGTTAAATTTTAGTTTAAAACAAAGCCAACAATGAAAAATACATACAGTACCTGTGCATTTGAAGTGTTTTTATTTATTTATTTATTGGGATATTTATATATTTCTGATTTTATTTTAAATTATGTCAGTTTCAGTCCTCCATAGCGCCCAGGGCAGGTGTTCACCTTGCAACCAGTGTCGCCAGTTCCAATCCCTGCGCAAGCGCATACTGTTGAAGTGCCCCATGGCAAGACACTCAACCCAACTTCCCCATGTATAAACATGTTGGTGTAACTGTGGTGGTCTGGAGGGGCCGTAATGGCAGCCACACATCTACCACCGAGTGCGACTGAGGAGTGAATCAATAATACATGAATTTGTAAAGAGTTTATAAAGCATCTAGGAAAGTGCTATGTAAGACAAATGCAATATTATGTATTTGGWGTTATTAATCTGTCCATTATAGCAGAAAATTTCCCCAATTATTCTCAATTCTTTTATGTTAACCATAAATGCAAATAGTATCACTGAATTTTTTTCAGTCTTCTTTTAAAGCCCTGCACAGAACAGAGTGAGCTTTTTAAATACTTCTTCACCTTTTGTCAATCCAAGATGTAGGAAATACTTCAACTTTAGTAGTTTTTAAAACYGCAGTTTTTGATTCAGAGGGCCACGATTTTCTTGTCTTTCTACTGTGGCGTTGTATTGGGATTAATGCAACAGCCCTGGAGTGGTTTAAATTCTACCTTTAAGACCAGGGGCCTCATGTACGAAATAGTTTGCAGCTTTCATACTGAAGTTCACATACAGACCTAACTGAAAAAATGTGCATGCACAAAAGAAAATCCAGATTTATCAAACTGCACATGCCCATTCTGTGAGCTTTTCCTTCATACATCCCAACAAATGTGGACCTGAGTGSATATCAGACACCTTCCCTGACATACCTCTATTTAAATATGAAAATAAATGCAAATATGCCCTGTAATGTGTGATTCTCCTGTCTGCACAATCAAAAAAAAAGATGTCTAAATGCGGAAAAAAATAGAGAATTTATTGGAATGTGGTTCAGAGATTCTTCTAAATAAAGTAGTGAGATGTAAAAACTTAACATAAAGGTAAACTGACATGATGAGCTTCAGGAACAAAAGACAAAGTTAAACAAAAGGCTAACAAGGCAGCAAAACTTACAGAAATGATCACTGGGAGCACCAAGAGGAGACCTCATCACAAGCAGATACAGTAAGTTGTAGAGGAGAACACAGAGATTTGTAGCATTAAACCAACAACTCTCCTATGATGCTTGGTGAACAAACTGAATAAAAAAGGCCAGGCTGATGTTGTGGATAAGGTTTTAGTCCAAAGACACATTTAAACAGACACTTGGWGATAAGCAGAGATGGCTGTGCTGAGTGGAACTGGGTTACAGTACAGATAAGAGTGGACGGGACCAGCAGACTTGGAACTGAGGAGGAGGAATGAATACTGGCAATAAGGGACACACGGTTGCTAAAACAAACGAACACAAAAGGGAGTATATAAAAGAAAACCAAACAGAACAAAACATAAATCAATGATGAAACGTTAAAGACCTTAATCAAGTAATGAAAAAACATGGATCCTGACAAATGGTCAGACAGAAGGAAGTAAGGCTCATCATCTTTTATCAGATAATGCTAGACTCCTCTTACTATACATGAATTAAATACTATTGTTGTAAA